TACTGTGTAGTACTCTGGAGGTTTTGGGGTGTTCTAGTTGTAGGTGTCTGAAACTCCTTGTACTGTAAGTACACCTTATGTGTTATATGTTTATGTGTAGTTAAGAAATATTTGTTCAAACAAGTGTGGCTGAATTATTACTCTTTTCATCAAAACCGTGTCATGGAATAAAAACTTCACGTGCCTCTAAACTATACCAACTGCTCACATACTGTATATTCTTGGAGAAATCCTTACACGTTGGGGTTATGATCATTTATTTCACCTGTTATTCTGTTCTTCACCATTTTCCTGAACCCGTTTTGTAACCCAGCAGCACAACTCAGGAAGGTGCTTAAGTTAAGGAAGAGAATGAGATAAGATTCCCTTCTCGAAATATCCAAGTGACATCCTTATTTTATTATTAATAATGCTAAACTAATAGGATACTTAATCACATATAGCTCCTTTAAAACCAATTATCCCAACCCATCAGGTAAGATGGTCTGCTTGCCTCCGCTTTTTTAATTTACAAGTTAATTAACACTTACCTTGATTATAGATGAGTGACCACTATAACAGAAGCTGTCTAAATTGCAAGAGGAATATCCTCCTTGAGTAGCTCTCAGAGAATGTGGGTTTTAAATAGGTTACAGTGAGGGTGTCTCAGGTGATCTGTGAGGCCAGCAGGGCAACATTGGGCTATGTTTTTGAGTGTTTAATGGATTTTCAGCACCTAGTCAAGATACGCAAGGTATGGATTAATGTTCTCTTAACACTTGATACCTGGTTAAAATTGCGGTCCCGTCAGTGTCAGTGTATTTTTGATGTCACCAATAGGATGCTATGGTCTGATGCCAGAGGAACTCGGTATCTGTAAGACAGAGTTAAGGGTGATCCTTTGCAGCTTATCAGAGCTAATAGGAGAAAGCATTCACTGTAGAAGGTTCTGCTTCACAGACAATGTCACCGCAGAGGTGCCTTCTCTAAAGGTAAAAAAGCAAAGGAAACACTTCAGAAGTTTTGGTGTGGATGGGGTAGGACAGCATCTAGAAGCGATGTTAAGATGTATCTGGGGGGAGTCACTGGTGTATATTTTAAACGACAAGGCATCCTGCTGGCTCCTTACAAAAGGAAATAAGTTAAATTTGTTATTTTAAAAAGAAGAGAGGTTCTGTGGGACATTGAAAATAACTAATTCTTTGTGGACCGTTTCTGGACAACGGAGACTGATTATAGCAGATTATAGCAAGTATAGAACAATCTAGAACATCACAGGGGGAAGATTGATTGATTGAAAGAAATGGATTGATCTCATGGTAGATTCCAGGTGTTTGTGATACTAAAGACATTAAACAAGAAGGAGTTGCACTCTTTAGGTTTCACCCTTAAAAAGGAAGTCAAGTGCTAAGTGACAGGCAAGGAAGATTGCTTGCTCTTGCCACTGCTCAGACATAAACACCTGCAGAGCTCTCAGTACTCTGTTGCTAATGTAATACGTTGCTGGATAAAGATTTGCACTAGTTTTACGTTTACTGTCAAGATAAAGAAAATGTGTTTATGGCTCTTGCGAAGCATTAAACATTTACAGTGTGTGATATCTAAGCACTAAATTGTAGTGATACTGTCTGTGTGGAAAGGGTTTTTTTTCTACACGTTGTAAAATGTTCAGAATACGTAAGGTACCGTCCCAGTCATAAACAGAGCTGTGTCATGAGGCAATACAGGCTGAGTAACACAGCCCAGGTAAAGGAAGATATTCTGTGGTGAAGACAATGAGATAGGCCGCAAAATCCCAGTCCTCTTTCTCTCTCGCCAGGTAAGAGCAGGCAGCCTTTCGTCTTCCTGATGGCAACACAGTATTGTTAGATTGTGTAAAATAAAAAATATGATGCGTATGTAAGCATAAAGAAGGGACCTGTGGAAAAAGCTCAGGAGAAAGAACCAGAGAGCAGCCTAACATCTGTCATGTTTACGGCTTACCAGACTGGTGTGTAAGAGACTGCAGTTGGATGAAATGTGTTGTTAGCGCACTTGGATTTAATCATGAAAAAAATGTGTGTTTTAAAAAAAATATAAATAGTGCATATTGTTTTTTGTAATTCATTACAGGACAATAACTGTTTATACCTTGTTTCCTTTGGATTCTGTTGACTCTGGTGAACTAGAAAAGTGAATCTGCTTATAGCAAATTTCTAGCTCTTAACCACACAGGGTGGTGCTGTAATCCCCAATATGCATGTTCATGAAAATAGAAGTCTTAATAATTAAATACTTTAACTGAAAACCTCTTTTCTTCATTCTGGCTTTGTCCTTATTGGTATGATCTGACTCATTCTGCATGTCTCTTGTTTAATGTCTTTTTCCTTGAAATGATATTACTTTTCCAAGCTGTATGCATGACTAAATGTTTACTATACATAGAGTACTGCTTGGTGTTTTTTTGCTTACAATGTGTCATGTCAGTCTGTGGTCAAATGTTTTGCCATGTCTTTGTAAGACATGTCCTTGTTTAGTCCTTTGGTTTAAATATTTAAGAGTCTCCTCCACACCCCACACCCAT